TTTGCAATTTGATATGATCTCATTAGTTGATTCTTGGCATTAATTCTTGTGCACCAGAGGTTTGTTTAGAACCTTCCTTCCTATACTTATGTCTTCAAGAATTTTACCTATTCTGTCTTCTAGAAGATTAAGTGTTTCTGCTTTAACATTTAGACCTTTAATCCATTTTTTGATCTTACTTCAGTACACGGTGAGAGATACATGTTTAGACTGTCTTTCCAATCTGGATAGCCAGTTTTACCCATTTAGTAAACAGACTATTTTTCTCCAGTAGTGTTCTTGTCTCATTTTTCAAAGATTAGGTAGCTGATTGTACCTGGATTTTTTTTCCTCTGCATCCACTATTCTGTTACTTTGATCTATGTGTCTGTTTTTGTGCCAATATCATGCCATTTTCACCACTACAGATTGTGATATCTTTTACTTTGCTCTTGTTGCCAGGGTTGCTTCAGCTCTTCTTGATTCTCTTATCATTCCATATGAATTTTAAGATTGCTTTCTGTAGTCCTTTGTTACATGCCACTGGTATTGAGGTAGGGATCATATTATGTATCAGTTTTGGAAGTATGGCCATGTTGAGAATATTAGTTCTGCCTGTCCAGAATCAAGGTATATCTTCCCATTTTCTTGTCTTTTTTGATCTCCTTTTGAAGAGTATCTCAGATTTAATTGTGCAGTTCTTTTATTTGCTTGCTAGGTAATTTCAAAATATTTAATTTTTCCTGATGCTCTTGTGAATGGTATTATTTGCCTATATTCTCAGTGAGTTCATTAATGGTATATAGGAATGCTTTTGATTTTTGAGTGTTAGTTTTGTATCCTAGTACACTAGTGTATTTGGTTATTAATTTTAGGAGTCCTTTGTGGAATTTTCTGGGACTTCTGTGTAGAGAATAATGTTATCTGCAAATAATAATAATTCTAGTTTTTCTTTCCTTTACTTATTCTTTTTTTTTTCTTTCTTTTTCTCTGACTGCTCTGGCTCCTGATTTGAATATTGTACTGAGCATAAAAGATGATATCAGAATATTTGTCTTGTACCTGATTTTATGGTGAAAATTTTCAGTTTTTTTCTCATTTATTATAATGTTTGCAGTAATTTTGTCATAAATGGCTTTTATTAGATTGCAAGTTCTTCTGTGCCTATTTTCTTCAGCATTTTTATCATGAATGGGTGTATACTTTTGCCAAAAGTTTTTCTGCATCAATTTGAGATGATCGTGTGGATTTTGTCATTGCTTTTGTTTATGTGGTATATTACATTTATTGATTTATATGTAGTGAATCATTTTTGAATTCCTATCATTAAGCCTTATTTGATATGACCTATGATCTTGGTGACTTTTTGCTTTCCATTTGCCAGTATCTTTTGAAGGTTTTTGTGTCAGTGCTGATTATAAAGATTAGTTTGAAGTGCTCTTTTATGGTAAGAGTCTTTTTCTGGACTTGGATAATTTTAAAGCTAGCTTTTAGGAATAACTTTGGGGTACTGCTGTTTCACTTTCATCAAAGTGTTTAGAGAGTATAAACATTAGATTTTCTTGCAGAGTTCAGCAGTCCTGGGATCTTCTTAGCTAGTAATTTTTAAAAAATGCTTCCATTTAATTGCCTATTATTGGATTATTCTGGGAGCTTATATCTTCTTTGTTCAGTTCCTATAATTCTTCTATTTCTAAGAATCTATTCATTTCTTCTCTGTTATTTGTTTTTTTGGGAATATGGGTTTTCAAAGTAGTTGCTAATACAGATTTTGGCAAAGTCCATTGTAGCTTAGCTGTCTTACTTTCCCACTGCATTGATGTAGGTCTTTTCACTTTTCCTTGCCTTTGTCCTTTTCCTTTTGCATCTCCTTCTTCTCCCTCTCTCCGTCCACTTCCCTCTTCCTCTTCTACTCCCTTTTCTATCTCTCTCCCTTCTTTTGGTAAAACTGACTAAAAATTTATCAATTTTCAATATTTTTAAAGAACTAGCTCTTTTTTATTCTTAATATTTTATTCTTAAAAATTCTTTTTTATTTTTATTTAGTATCAATTTCATTACTTTGATCTTTATAATTTCCTTCCTCATATTAGGTTTGGACTCTGATTGTTCTTGTTTGTGTAGGACCTTTAGGTGCATCATTAGGTTACTTTGGCTCACTTTTTTTCTGAATGTGAGTGTTCACAACTATAAGCTTTCATTTTAGCACTATTTTCATTGTGTTTCATAGGTTTGGTATGTTGTACTAGCATTTCAGGTGATTGTAGGAGGTACTTTCTTGTATTTCTTTTGTGACTTGTTGGTTATTCAATATAGTATTGTTTAATTTGTGTGCATGTGTGTGATTTCTGTGGTTTCATTCACCATTAATTTATAGTTTTGGTTCAATATAACCTGATAATGTGCACAGGATAATTTCAATTCTTTGGGCTTTATTTAATATGCTTAATGAGTTAGTATGTACTCTGGAGGAAAGTTTTTGTGCTTCTGAAATGAATTCTGCTGTTGAGTGGACCACTAAGTATATATCTGTGAAGTCCAATTTTTTTTCAAAGATTTGATTTAAATCTTTGTGTTTTTTTTTTTTTTTTGTTGTTGATTTTTCATTCTGTTGATCTATTTGTTACAGTGGGATATGGAAGTCTCCCACTGTAATTGTGTTGATTTTTAGCTGATCTTTTATTTCCCATAGTGTTTGTTTTATGAAGTTGTGTTTGCCAGTGTTTGATGCATATATGTTTATAGATGTTATAATTTCCTGTTGATTTGTTCCCTTAACTAATACGTAGTGACTTTCTCTGCTTCTTGTGATCAATTTAAGCTGGAAGTGTGCTTTGAAAATAGCTACTCCTGCCTTTTTGAGTTAGCATTACATGGAATATTGTTTCCCATCCTTTGATTTTTAGTCTCTGAAATTCCTTTTGGATTCAGTATGTTTCTCATATATAGAATACCGTTGAGTTTTTTTTTTGATCCATTTTGCCAACCTGTCTTTTGATTTGAACTGAGATTATTCACATTGCCATTTTTGAATGCTATTTACTTAGTTCTGTCATTTCATTATTTACTTGGTTCTTTTTTCCCCCTCTTCTTGCCTGCTGCATGCCATTAGACATTCTGGCATTGTTAATTTCATTGTCTCTTTGTAGGATATATTTGAGAATTTTTTGTAGTGCTAGTTTAGTGGTCATGAATTTTTAAAAAATGCTCTTTGTCATGGAAATACCTTATTTCTCCATTAATACAAAGATAATTTGGCAGGATGTTTCAGTCTGGATTGCAAGTTGTTTTATTTTAGTGCTTAAAACATGTCACTCTATACTGTCCTGGCCTTTGAATTTTGTGTTGTAAAGTCTGCTGAAATTCTGTTGAGTTTACCTTTATTCAGTGCTTGTTGCTTTGCTCTAACAGTTTTTAAGATTTTGGTCCTTGTTTCAGAAATCTGGAATTTTGACTATGATATGTCACAGAATTCTTTTCTGATCATGGCTATTTGGAGTTCTAAATGAATCAATTATCAGTATGTTAAAATTTCTACTCATATTTGAAAGTTTTTATGCTGTTATTCTGCAAAAATTTCTTCAAGACGTTCATGCTGTCTTCTGATTTTTCCCTAATTCCAACTAATCTTAGATTAATCATTGTGTCACCCAACAGCTGTTGGGTCTATTTTTCTTGTTCTATTACTGTTTTTTAAGGTACCTCTGGTCTCTGGCAGCTGCCTGATCTCACTGTTCTGATACACTGTCTCACATTGATGGCTTCTATTGCCCATGGTTTCAACAGAATTTTTAATCTTCTGAGTTTCTGCTTGGTGCTTTTTCACCACCCTAACAAAAGCAATAAAACCAGTAACAGCATTAATAGAGTCAGAGACAAACTGAATATTTATATACCATAAGAGCCCATAATGTACTAGCCTTTATCCCAATGAAGAGTTCTATAATTATATCATAAACACAAAAGCAAACTAACTACTGACATGTAGCAAAAATGTACATACAACAACTATAACTCCACCAACAAAAGAAAAGAATTCAATGGTAATAACATAATTAACAAAATATCTACCTATTAATAAAGCTTATTGATTATACTGATTGGGTGGGGAATTGAAGAATGAAAGAACAAAAATTTGAAAATTTAAGGATCATGAAATGAGAAGGTAGAAAGTGAGATAACAGATCCTATTAAAACATAAAAGGAAATTGTAATTAGATAAAAGTAACAGATAATAACAGACAAGAAAAAGAACAAAAAGAGAAATCAGAAAGATAAAGAAACCCTACACCCAAAAGGACAAATGGGAAAAAGAGTGATGCATCCAAAGGGAAAAATGTGCTGTGGTTTTGAATGAGTGGTTTCTTTCTAGGATCTGCAGTCTTGAAATCACGTAGATATGGGGAAAGGGTAGTAAGTTACTGCTAAGATCTATTTTCGTTTGATATTTAAATTTTAGTGAATGTTGGAACCTGCTCTGCATTTCCTGTTGTGTATGGTTAGTGGTTGTGTCTGCCTTATGGCTGGAGTCATTCTGCTCTCTCTCTGTTGCTCTCTTGTTTGCTCTGACTCTTCCATTCCTCATATGTGTATAGATGCAGAGAAATGCAAACAATAAGAAAATGTGACCATTTGATGTTATAGTAATTAATGATTAACAGATTCATCAAAGTCCAATAGAAAGCACTTTTGGTGTTTCTGGTCTCGCTCATAATTACAGAGAGAAGATTATCCTAGTTATTTTGTGGTCCTACATTTCTGTAGTTTGAAATATATTTAATATATACTACTACATATATAATAATTGTACTTAGAATATACTTTTTACTCATCTGGAAAAAACAGGGAAATAGTGAATTTCTTTGATATACACTTGGAAGAGATAAAAAAATCTCACCTGGAAAATAAAAGCAGACTTAGGATAATAAAGGAAGTTCTTTGGCCTTCATGCAATGTCAGAAAAGAGTTCTGGGTGGAAATATCAAACCTAATTCACAGTTTCCTTCATTGTTCTATTACAGTTTCGCCTCGAGGATGTAAAAGGAGTTCCTGTGGCAGATAAACATATCTTCCTGAAAGTATTCACAACAAAGTACAACAGCAGTGCTACCACTGATGAGCATGGCCTGGTAGAGTTCTCCATCAATACCACCGACATTGTGGCTCCCTCCCTCACTTTCAAAGTGAGTTTGATAGTCAGAACGAAGGAGGAGTCTTGGAAAAAGCGTTGCCTCTGAATAGTTCTTGTCTCAAGAAAAAAAGGAGATTTGTATTTTTAATTTCCTTAATTTAGAGTGAATTATGAGACATTTTTGATAAACATTAAAAGTGTTAGAAGGACTAGTGAACTAACTGCTATACCTTAAAGATGTCCTCCTAAATCTTATATTTTTGATTATTAGCTTCTTTTATTTTGGTTATATTCTATATTTCTCAAGTCATTATTTTGAAATAAGTGATTATGTTTAACAGACTAACTTTGTTTTTTCAATTATATATGTAAGTGTTGTTATATTGCCCCAAATTTTATGTTCATTTCTCTAGACAGCAGACATTCATTGCATAATTTTTTATAAGTACCTTTCTTTTTATTTGCCTTTTGGAGACAGAGTCTCACTACGCAGTTCAGGCTGGTCTTGAGCTCACTTTGTAGCCCAGGCTGGTCTCGAACTTGCAATGATCCTCCTGCTTCAGCCTCCTGAGTGCTGGGATTACAGGCATGAGCCACCCTGCCCAGCTCTCATTGCATAATTGAGTTTCTGGGGTCTGTGCTAGACTTGCATCATTAGTGGTAGAAATCTCTATGAAATATGGTAACACATGTGAATATTATAACCAAATACAAACCAAGTAGACAGAAGGTTGAGAGTAAGGATAGTCATTTGATGAACAAAGAGGAAGATGAGAGGGCATGTGGCTTAGATCTAGAGCACTTACCTAGAATGTTCAACCTTCAGCACTACAAAGAAGCAAGCAAACAAATGAGCAACAAACAAACAAAAACTCTACAACAACAAAACAGAAAACAAAACTCGAGTTAGTAGGGAGCCAATACTGTATGAGAGCAAAAATACAATTGCTTCACAAGTAAGTTCTGCAAGGCTGAAGGGAATAGACATTCAGAAATTTACACCACCAGTCCATGGTATTAGAGAAGAGGTAACATTTACCTGCACATGGCTTCTGCTGTTTATGTACAGAATTTTAGGAAGCTTCAATATTTAGAGACATCTATTTGCTGAAGATCAATTTAACACCTTAACACAATTGTTTTCCTCAATGAGATCCTAGTTGTTCTGGATTTGTTAAATTTAGATAAGTCTATACAAAAGATATTATCCCCTCTTCCATATATATATATATATATATATATATATATATATATATATATGCTTTCCAGAAACATCTTCTGAAATTAAGGGAAGTAAACACAATTTCATTTAATTAGCAGTAAGGAATGGTTTTCTCCAGTTTTCATTAAGAAGCCAAAAAAATGTCTAACAATACAGCCAGGTAGACTTACACCATTTAGAACAGGACTTCTTTCTGATAGGTCATCTACAACACAGTACTTCTTTTTGTTTTTCCAGGTCTACTACAAGGAACAGGGTCATTGTTTCAAACACTATTGCATTGAAGAAGAACTCAAAGAAGTAGATTTTGTGTTTTACAGTGTTTTCTCCTACAGCAAGAGCTTTGTTTACCTTGAGCCTGTCACTGGTGCCTTACCCTGTGGCCAAATGCATACAGTTCATGTACATTATACTCTGAATGGAAAAGTCTTGGGAGAGCTGAGGGAGATGGTTTTCTATTACCTGGTGAGTTCTGCCTTCTAGCTGCGAAACTGGACTCTGATACCAAAAATAACGAAATCATTTGATTTCCTAATTGTATGTCTCTTGACCCTTTGATTTCTCATGGTGCTGGATATTACTGTTTGAGCCTCACTATAGATGGGAGACGGGTCACTGAAGTGGGCATATAAACTAAGAAAATGCTTTTTAATTTAGATCATGGCCAGGGGCATCATTGTTCAAACTGGAACTCATGCTTTCTTCATGGAACCAGGAGAACGTGAGTGTTCTGAATCTATCAGTATGTCCATGGATGTACCCCATACACACTCAGCAATGGATGCTCGACAATTGAGCAAACTAGGGATGTCAGGATGCTTCCTGTGTGTCACTATGAAACAATCTGCCTCCTAATGAATGCTGTCATTCATATTATTAACTCAGTTTGAGAGTTGTGGAGTCTCAGACCGTCAACCTGAACATTATCCAACATCATTAAATATAAATTTTTGTGGCATAATACAAAATTATATATATGCATATATTTTATGTATTTCTTATATGTACCTTAAGTGAGTAATTCATGTAGTCAGACCAAGAACCTCACCAAAAGGCAAAATGGATGTTGTTTCTTTGTCCAATAAGATCTAAATATTGTCTGTCTTGGTCCTTTGGTCATTTTAGTGACATTAATTTTTGAATGATCTAAAAAATGAGTGGAGGCCTAAGAGTGAAGCTCAATGCTTGCTTAGGTTGTATAAGACTCTGTGTTTGATCCCCAGACTGAAAAAAGAAGGAAAGAAAGAGATATCACAGAGTCCTTTGGAGACGTATTATCATCTTTGATTTGAGTAATGATAAAGGAGATATCTGTATTTGCATAATTTTCCCTTACAAAATGTGAGTTCTGTGAACATTTGGTTAAACAAGAAGTTGTAAAGAAAAGTATGTTTATTTCTAAGCATTGACACTTCACTGCAATCACGTGTACTGTGAAGTCCCGTCATTGGGCTTCATCAGGGCTTGGTCATCATCTGCACTCTTGTTTCTCTTCCCTAAGTTACAAATGTAGTGTCAGTTGAGATGGCTTCATTATTTGATATCACTGTATTGTAATAAGAGCTAATGATGATATTTAGCATTGCTAACGTATAAAAGACACAAGAGATTATGATTATTCAGAAAGGAAAAATAATGTGGACACATTTTCCCACTGCTAAGTATGTTTTAGAGAAAGATAACCTCACCAGACCATTAATACACAGAGCACTAGCCTCTGCATACACATAGTAATGTTTTCAGTGTGAGGCTGGAGTTCAGTCATTCAGCTTCCTTTCCACTATCTGGGTCATGACTCTTTCTTTCCTTCCCATCCGTGCCACAGTGAAAGGTTACTTCAACCTGTCCATCCCTATCGAGTCATACATGGCTCCTGCCCCTCAAATGCTCATCTATGCCATTCTACCCAGTGGGGAAGTGATTGCAGATTCTGCAAAATTTGAGATTGAAAACTGTCTTCTCAGCCAGGTGGGTAATTTATTTTAAAAATATGGATGACAAAACTTTTAAAAGCAATACAAATAGGAGTTTAGCAAGGACATAAATTACTTTACAGATAAAATAGAGGTCTTTGTAGTAACTCACTGAAACCATACAAATTTTATGGCAGGACCAAAGCTAAGATCTACGTTTCCCCACACTTTGCTTAACACACTTTTATCCTGTTCCGTCTTCTTTACTATTTTTGTATGTGTATGATAATAATACTTAAGGTAAAATATCCTGCTTATCAAATTCTTAAGGGCACAATATTATATATCAGTAAATATGTGGTGGACAGTAGATCTCAAGGACTGATTCATCTTGTATAATTGCAACTTTGTAACCCTTCATTATTGTCCTTTCTTTCTCCCCTTTCGCTAACCTCAGACAACCACAGTTCTACTCTTTTCCTCTTGGATCCCCTGAATCACAGTCTGCTGTGTATTCTGTATACAACCTAGTCGAGAGCCACGTGAAATGAAATGGGGAATGTAGACACAGAATGACAGATGATAGAGATATAAAGAGAGAGAGAGACAGAGAGAGAGAGAGAGAGAGACAGAGAGAGAGAGAGAGAGAGAGAGAGAGAGAGACACAGAGAGAGAGAGATATCCACAATTAGAATCAATAACATTTCACTTGGAGAAATACAACAAATATATAAATAGTCCTTAAAAATAATGAACAAGATATCTTAGAAGAATTAAACATATTGTACCACAGCAAAATATGTGCACCCCATGTGTATAGTAGCATGATTTGTAATACAAAGATCTTGGAAACAACTCAAATTACCATCAACCAAGGAATGGATAAAAAGATATGATCTTTTTATGCAGTGGAATACTATTCAGCCATAAAGAAGGATAAACCTGAAACTTTTATAGGTAAATGGATGCAATTTGAGACTGTACTCATAAGTGAAATAAACTTATGCATAAATATTGTATTGCCTCCCTAGTGTGAAAAGCTTAAAGAGTAAATAAAACCCAAAATGTACAATAGATATTGCAAAATGGGAAGAAATTGTTCAAAAGGAAAGAGAAACTGGGATAGAGGAAAGGAGAAATAAGAGAAGGGAAAAGTCAAAAAAATACATATGACCATTATACTGCTAATTCCTCTTAGTTCATTGAAAGGAAAAGTTTGTGCTAATATTGTTTGCACAATTAAATGCCTATATCTTATACTCTGAGTAATTTAAAGATAACAATATGCAGTGTATTAACCATTGTTATTCTCCTATTATTTTGCTTTGAAATTTTTACTTTTTTTCTCTTTAAAATAAAATTTAAAAAATAATGAACAAGAATATCCATCATTCCCAGTAGTTGTTTGTTGCTTCAGAATATGACTCTCCCACGTACTAATTGCTCAAGTAAACCTGGGTGAAGGAAAGGAAGCAAAATCCCTCAGGACTAACTCTCTGCAGACCATAACTTAGCAATATAAATGCATTATAATTTAGTAATATGAATACATCTATTTTAGCACAGTAGATTGCATATTGAATATGTCAGTGACTCAAAGCTGGGGTGGGCTTTAGGTCTGCAATACCAAAGTAGTATGCAGCTTATGATTTCTCTTTCTCACAGGTGGGTTTGAGCTTCAGGCCGGCACAGAGTCTCCCGGCCTCACAAACTCACCTGCGGGTCACAGCACCTCCTCAGTCTCTCTGTGCCTTAAGAGCTGTGGACCAAAGTGTGCTGCTTATGAGGCCCGAGGCCGAGCTCTCCCCTTCCTCGGTGAGTTCCCATCCACCTCTGACCAAGAAGTGTCTCAGGAGGGGCACAAAGCAGGGAGCAACCCCATTTAGAAAAGAGAATGATAATTCAGAATGCTTTATAGTAGTTTGGAGATTAAGAATTGTCAAATTTCTTTAATATATTATTGTATTTAATGATCACGGCATTATAAAGTGATATCTTCACTGTCAGATATAATAGCATAATTCAGAAGAATTTATCAAAGCATTGTGCTCAAGATAAAACAGAAATTAAAACAAACAGTAAATTTCAGGGCTTGTATCTGACTTCCAATATTGCCTATTTGTCTATAATTTATTATACCACTTTTTACCCCTATTTTCCTTTGTCTTTCTGTTTTCTGGAGGATTTAATTTATTTTACTTTAATATTTTAAATATTTTTAAGGACTTTGTTTTAAATTAGCTAGCTCTACTAGTTTTGAAAGCTATATGTCATTTCCTAATTATTTTATGTTTTTAATGTCTTGTTCTAGTTTCATGGATGTGACATTTTCTATGCCTAGGAGAGTTTTATAGGGCTTTATGTTGTGATTTGGTTTTTGTTTTGGTGTTTTCTTTTGGTCTCTGATTTGCTGGTATGGCCTCATTTTGTTCTGTTTATTTGTTTTGGTCTTTGTCATTCATGTTGCAAATTTACTGATGACCTTAGCTGTTTATTTGTAATTTAGACTGAAGCAGTAAATGCTGATCCCTGATTTTATGGTCTTCTTTTGAGAGTAATACTGGTCAAATGATGGGCTGTATAGTTGATTTGTAAGATGCCCAGCAAGAACTTTGAAAGGGAGTAGTCATAACATTAAAGGTGCTTGTGAAATGTGTTTTCCCCTGAGAGGGTCTGTTCCATCTCAGGAACAAGCTTTCATTTGAGACGAAGTCTGCTAACATTCTCCAGGGCGCATCAATCATTTTTCCTTTGGCTTGTTGCACACTGTACTTACCCATCTTTTCCTTTCTGAGGGACCCTATGGCTCCAAATCCTGGAGGTTTTTTTTTTTTTTTTTTTGGTACCTGGGGTCGAACTCATGACCTCACATTTGCCAGGCAGGCATTTGTGCCACTGCACTAAAACCCTGGCCCCAAATCCTGGAGCTTTATGAGGCTTCTTGGCAAATATACTTGCACCTCAGCCCTATCTCATGTAGTTTCATTATTGTTCCATTTGGCCAAATCATTTGTAATTCCTCTTTTTGAATTTCATGAATTGTATTTGGAGAATTAAATGCATGCTAATGTTATTAAAGAGGGAGGTTCCCCCCATCCCCTTGTTTGGGAAGGTGGCTATTTAAAGAAAACAAAAATCAGAGAATTCTCTTGTCAGATCTTTTTTAGTTACTTATACTTTGATTAATCCATCTGTCATTTTTTAAAAAAAATCAATATTGAACTAAAAAGTGTGACCTTGATATTTTATATTTATTGGTTAACTGATATTTTATAAATCTACTAACACAGATTTAATATATTTTACATTAATAGCACTATAAATATAATTTTTCTCAAACGTAAGAACCAGAATTTTAAATTTCTCTTGATGTTAATGTGATTCTTGGATGGGAAAATTTTTACTTTTTCTTGAAGATGATAATCACCTTCAGAATGAAACACCAAAACAAAGTATCTAGAAAATCGCTACTAAATTATGAACAGACTTAAGAAGTGATTTATAATAGTGACCATAGTGATTCTTTTTGGTTAGTGTATTATCCAGGAAAAGAGATTTTGCCATTTGTTTCTTGTCTTTCACAGATATATAATCTGCTGAGTATAAAGGACACTGACTCCTCTTCAGATTTAAATTGGTTGGCTAACTTCCCAGAAAATTGTAAAGACATAAATTATGATAAAATCAAGTACTCATCATTACACAGAAATGACAAGGATACTTTCAAATTCATAGAGGTAAAACCTAGATTGTTAACGAATATTCTTCCCTGTTAATTATTTAAAATTAACACAGTATATTGGCAATGAATTTCAAGAGTGAGGCTACTGAGGTAGCTCAGTGGCAGAACGATTACCCACCATGAGCAAAACCCTGGGTTTGCTCTCTAATATCACGTAGAAAAAAAAGAACCTTAGAAATTGCCCAATTTAGACTTTTTTTTTCTGTTAAGGAAACAGACATAGAGAGTTTCAGTGGCTTGCTTTGTAACAGAGCTGTTTGTGCCAGAGCCAAGAGCAAGACAAACATTTGTCTTCTTTTTCTTTTAAACATATTCTCTGCTTCTACAACACTGAACTTTATACAGTTGTACTCAGCGAGCATGAGAAACACATCTCCAAGAGCTGTTCTTTATGATATGTAAAGTTATGTCCCGGATAGGTATTCTAATCTTTTTACATAATTTTTAACTGTTTACATTTGATTGGATAATCATTGTCTTTTCAGAGCATGGGCTTAAACATATTCACTAACTTGAAGATCAGAGATCCTAACTTATGTCCTGATGATCTGTTATTTCCACAAGCAGGTAAGATGATAAACCAGCTTGTTTTGGAATAGTGGAAATTGAATTAATTAACAAGGATGATGAAAATAAAATGGTAGATCAGTTATGTTGTTCATATCAATGGAAAAGAAGCCAATATTACATGGGTAAATTGACAAATTAGTCATCAAAACATTGCAAACAGCTTTTTTATGCGTCATAGTTATTCATTTATTGTATGTTTTATATACGTGCTTTAATAATTACTATATGTTAACTTACTATCTTTTTTGTTTTGTTTTTGTTTGTTGAATGGCAATTAATTGTCTAACCAATCAAAACAAATGGCCCCAGTCTTGTCCTTGACCCTTATTGTCCAGATAACTTTGGATGACTAATTTGGAATAAAGAGAATTTTTGCAAGTGTATAGGAGGTAGAAATTGGTGGAAAAAATCATTTGAAGTAAAGAAAAAGTACCAAAATAAATGTCAAATTACACTACAAAATGAATATAGTCATTCTGTTTCCTCATTTTATCTGCAATGTTTTGAAACATTTAGTCTTGCTTCCTCTCCTTCTTCCTCTGTCCTTCTCCTCTTTTTCTTCCTCTTCCTCCTTCTTCTTCTCCTTCTTCAGTACCAGTAATCAAACTCAGGTCCTTGTGCTTGTCAGGCAGGCACTGTGCCTCTGAGCTACATCCTTGGCATTAAATTCTCTTCATACTTAATAATACGATGGAAAATATCATATGGTGAGTGATGTGATTGTACTATATCCCCAGGGTAATGACCATTGAAAGAAATGTTCCCTCTAGTCTTTGATATCTAAGCAACACGTGTAGCAGATGAACTCTTTGCATATTCAATTCATGTTTAAAACAGCATTTCCAAAATATTGTCTTATAAAATTCATTACTAACAAAGATGATGCAGGCTTTGGACTTAGGATTCTCAAAATCGTTGATCACAGGGATATAAGTGTGATTAGGCTCCAAGATAAAGCGTAAAGGGAAGTAAAAGGACTCAAGTTCAGAGTGAACTAGATTCAATCCAGAAAATTGGGTATTTAATTTACCATAATTAGTTTGATATATGCATTTTATGACTGTTTAACAAAAGATCAAAGCAATTGCAAATATGAATGCACATGAATAATAAGACTTTAAAACAGGTTTGATGGATGAGCTGATTATAGATGTATATGAATATACAGAAGTGAGTTAATCTGAGTCCCTAGTGAGATTTCTTGGGAAATATTGGTTGAACATCTTTATAAAAAATACATACTACCTTCAGTCATAACACTACATAGACAACTTTGCTCTTTTTAAAAAGTCTTTGAAAATATGTATTAAATTATGCCTAAAGATGAAATCAATAAACACTCCATTAGGAATGTAGGAAAGAACTTATTTACCATGTACTTGCCAATTGCTGAGTATGAAGTCACTTTGCCCTTGAGGCGCAAAGACAATATTTGGTGGGGAGTGCCTGTCTTGGGTGACGCTGCTGACTAAGACCCAGTAAGCTAGCCTAAACCAGGTCCCAGTGCCTAGAGGTGCACCCTAGCAGTGAAGCCTTCGGTAGATTGACCTGGAGGAGTGGACCCAGCATTGGCTGCTCAGGTCTGTGTCTCCCTAGTACACTGCAGTGGGCAGGGATACCTAGCCAGCGCAATTCAAACAAATTGTAACTGACAAAGAAAGAAACTGGGCCTCCTATATATGCTTGTATAAAAGGAACAAAAAATATGGGAAAGAGTCCTTGGCCCCAATCCTGAGAAACATGCAATATCAGACACAGCACCAATAGACATAAAGCGCTATCTCCAGAGCCTCATAGATGAGTTCAAGAATGAAGTTATTAATACCTGAAATAAGATATAAGTAGAATAGTTAGACAAATGCTAAGCACTGCCCAAGAAAAAACAGATGGTGGAATGGAAGAACAGAAAAAAAGGGGAGGATTGTTTGATGGAGAAAATAGAGAAAACATAGAATACGTGAAGCAGGTTCAAAGAGATTAGCAGGAAACTAAAAACTCTATCAAAAACTGGCATAATATCTTGAAAGAAACTAGGATAGATTATCTGAATTGGAGAGTAGATTTGTAATATGGGAGCATGAAATGAAAAACTTCTTAAAAATAACAAAAAACAAACAACAACAATACAAAGGCTAGAAGATGATAAGAGAATCTATAACTTAAGAATTAAGAATATAAAAGAAGAAGTAGGGACACAAACAAATGGACTACAAAAGCTATTCACAGAAATAATCCAAGAGAATTTTCCTAATTTAGCAAATGGTAAAGATACTCAGATGTATGAGGCATACAGGACTCCACCCACCTACAACCCAAACAGAGCTACACCCAGGCATATAATAATCAAAATTCCAGAAATTCAATATAAGAACAGAATATTAAAAGCCATCAGAGACAAGAAACAGATCACTTACAAGGGAACACCCATCAGAATTACAGCAGACTTCTCAGCACAAACCATCAAATCATGAAGAGTGTGGGGGGAAATAATTCAGAAAGATAATAACCTCCAGCCAAGATTGGTATGTCCTTTACAACTGACCCTAGAAATGGATGGAAAAACAAGGTGCTTCCAGGATAAAGAGGAACTGGTGAATTTGCAACCACTAATTCAACTCTATAGAGAATACTGCAGGACATTCTAAAAAAGGAAAATACCAAGATTCCAGAAATAGTGGCAGAGAGGCCACAATGAATGGAGCAGAAAGCTAAATGAAGAAGACAAACTGACAACTAATGACAGAAAAAGAGCTCAACAGAAATGAGGCAGAGAAGATCGGATGGTAGGAACATTTTGGAGAAAACGACATCATAATAGCTAGTGCTGATTTAGTATCATCTTGTTTTGAAGTCTCATCAAACTTGTATTTTTCTGTCTCCATTGGTCTTAAAAAGTTGTATCTTATTGGATTTTATTATATATGATAATATAAGTAAAAACTTTTATAGACAAGGCGATTATACAGAAACCATTGTTCATTTTCTGTTAATTGGTTCTAAATACCATGTAATAATGTCATTCTCTTGAATGGTTTTATAGTGTCTTGATACGTTTGGTGCTACAGTATACGAAGTTATACTCAAAGATTTCAAGGAAAGAGACACTATGGTAACTATTTTTATGTCAGGATATCTTGTGCTGAAACACTATTTTGCTTAAATGGTTATGTTTTGACCTGCGCTGATCTGTTGTTATGCCCACTCTTATCTCAATCCCTCCCTTTTAAAAAAATATTTAATTTTTATTTTTATCTTTTAATTAAGGGAAAAATAAATAAAAATAGTAGTATACATTATAGTAACCTACTTTGTTTTCCTATTAACTTGATTTGAAATCCTGTATTGTCCTCACCATCTTGTTTTGACTGATTTTCCCCTATTCCACTTTGCTTGATAGTACCAAGTTCAAAAGTACAGGCAACAACCATGAAGACAATAAGATTCGTTATGACCTGCATTCTAGTTGACTATTATCTTCTTTTAAAGTCCTGTAATGTCTCCAATGCTTTGGTTTTATTCTTTACTGTTTTGTTCAATTTTATTATAACTGGCAATTCTTCTTAAAATAGGAAGGGCAGTATGGTAACCATTGTTGCTCACCTTGTATTTTGTTTTTACATTATCTATTATGTCCATCCTTTTGATTGAACTGACTCTGTTGTGATATGTTGCATTTGGTTTTACTCTCTTCAAAAAAAGTAATAAGAACTGTGGGAGTAATAAACCCAAAATGTGTAATTGTCATTGTACCAAAGAAAAGCAAAGAAAGTGCTCTAAAGGTTATAACTGCATATATGTTTAAGTGTATAAGATAGATAACCATATTACTGAGTTTTTTTGGATCACTGAACAAAACTGTTTGCACTTTCACTGTTTGAAAGTCCACTTTATATGCTTTAATTTTGTAACTTGAACAACTGTTTCTAAGATGAGAATATGTAATCTATTAACTAATCATTTCTTATTGTTTATTTTTAAAATTTTGTATTACTTGTACCCTTTTTCTTTTTCTCCTTAAATAAAAAAGGTATAAATTTAAAAAAAAAAAGAAAGACAATCTTAGAGGTACCAAGATCATCAAAGAAGCCAAAGCTGCTTTTGGCAGAGATACAAAGAGTAAGTTTTGAAATAGTTGAACATACAAAAGTGTCAGAATTTAGCACTTTATGAATAGTGACAGATAAATAGTTAGATTATGAAAGGAAGGTGAATGACCCATTTTGAATCTATTTGAACACTAAATACAAAAGCATTTGATGATATTTCATATAAACAGTATAGTACTAACCTTGATTCAATTGTAGGTCACATTTAGTCGGTGAAGAAAGAAGCCCTCCTCCACCAATCAAAATGAGATAAAGGCATGGGGGATATCATTAATAAAGGTAGCCAATTTTAATGCAAAAATAATGTTAAGACTTTAAAGTGAACACTGTGAAATAATTGGTTAAAAACTGAAGGTAACATTATTTGTAGAAAATGAAGTCAGTTGTGTTGGTGCATGCTTGTGATCCCACTGCTTAGGAGACTGAGGCAAGAGGATCCCCATGAGTTTGAAGCCATTCTGGGCTACATAGTGAGTTCAAGGCCACCCTGAACTACATAGTGTTTCAAGAAACAAAAACAAACAAACAAACAAACAAACAAACAGAAAGATCAAAGAATAGAGCGGTGATTTTACAGAGCAAGATTAATGATTGCAAAAATTATTACAAATGGTTCTTCCTGACCTAGGGACCAGGTGGGCTCCCTACTGGACTGGTGAGTGGAGCAGCAGCAGCTGGGAATCCCGCCCAGCCTGAGGGAACTCTCTTCCTGGCCTGGGGAACACGCCAGTTCCCTGCCAGGTTCAGTGAGTGGGGCCACCGCAGGGAAGCCCATCCCAGGCTGGAATAACTCTCTCCCACACCTGGAACAACACTTGAAGCTCCAAAATACAGGAAAATGACAAAATGAAAGACCAAAATGCAATCTCAAAAATCCAGCCCACCCCAAGA